TATAAAATTCAGTGAAGTAAAAAACAAAAATGATTGGCTATTAAATGTAATAAATGAGACCTGTGGACAGTCTTGTGAAAGAGCGTTTAGAACCTGTTCTTAGATTCGCAGGGAAGCCAGAAACGATCCACGAGGGAAGCAGCTAATCGAGGAGGAGTGCATGAAGATAAACGAGCACTACAGGGGCGGGAAAAGCAACCGAGAGATCGGCAGGCTCTTCGGACGCGACGAGAAGGTGACTAGGAACTACGTGAAGCGCGGGAAGGCGTCCTCCCTGACGAATAGGACAGGAAGAAATCCGAAAATAGTTGGCCGGGAGGCCAGGCGCGTCATTCGACTGGCAATTGTCCGAAACCTGTCCGCCCAAGAGATCGCAGGACTGCTTTCATCGAAACCAAGCAAGTCTACGGTACTCCGCGTACTACGTAGCAACCGCTACGTAACGTACGCGAAGAGAAAACTCGCCCCTGCCATCAAGCCGAATCATAAGAAGGCTAGGGTAGCATTTGCGGAGCGTTATGCTGGTAAAAGGGTCTTTTGGAGACGCGTGCTGTTCACGGATGAGAAGAAGTTCAACTTAGACGGCCCGGATGGGTTTAGATTCTACTGGCACGACTTGCGAGCAGCCCCCAAATTCATGTCGAACCGGGTCAATGGTGGCGGAAGCGTCATGATTTGGGCGGGGGTGAGCTGGCATGGCCACACCGAGCTGGGCTTCCTCAAGGGGAAGCAGAACTCTGTCAAGTACACCGAAACGCTGACCTCCAGCATGCTTCCATGCCTAAGAGAACTGGGGTCAAAGTTAGGCAATTTGACCCCCATTTTCCAGCATGATAACGCGTCCATACATGCATCGAGGTTCATCAAGGGCTTTCTAGCCACCCATAACATCGAAACGATGACGTGGCCTGCCAAAAGCCCCGATCTAAACATCATAGAGAACGTGTGGGGGCTTCTGGCTCGCCGGGTGTACGCCAACGGACGCCAATTTGACAAGCCTGCCGACTTGATCAGACATATCAAGTTAGAGTGGTCTCGCATTGATTCTGAGTATGTCAAGAAGCTAGTGCGAAGCATCCCAAAGCGTCTGGAAGCAACTCGGCTGTTAAAAGGAGCTAAGATCGGTTACTAGAGCCGTTTGCATGTAGAGCCTGCAAGTGCGGCTATAATTATGACCCGACCTGAAACTAGATTTTGCCTCCTGGCTCCAAGCCGACTTCGTCTTTTCAACCTCGCTTGCTGCACAAGTCTTCTATCCCTTTAAGACGGCCTCCGAGCCCTCCGATTGCAGGCAGGTCTCGGTTTCCGGCGCAAGATGTAAATACAAATGCATTTTTTACGCATTAATAATGCTAACGTAAAAAGTTTTGCCATACATTATGCATTTTCAGAATCTCAGGGGCTCCCATACATAATGGGGGCAATGTAATAATGTACATTAATGTATGTCAGTATGCATTATTCGGAAGCCCTGATTGCGAGTGTACTTCACAGCGCCCGAGCGCTTTCAACCGTCGATCAGGACCGACAGATTATCCTTGAATGGTGTTGGTTGAGCGCAAACGTTGCGGTCTTGTATTCGTAGAGGGCTTCCAATTCTAGAACAGCATCGAAGGAGGTCTTTTATTCGTAAAACCCGTTATTTCCATGATGGAAGCCTGGTGAAGTTTACAAGTAAGCGTATAGTGCAGTTTGATGTACGGTTGAGTTGCTTCATCTTCCTAGGATTGAAGCTGATCCAGCTTCACTGTGAAAACAAAGAGATGATCTCATCCATAATACACATGTACTCGACGCGAAGAGCTTGTCG